GATTACGGCTTTATATGTATATCGCATTCCCTATAAAGATTGAATCGTGTTGTATAACTATTATATTAATTAAACTAAGCTATAATGATTAATAATATTTTCTTTAGAAGTATTGCGTTAGCATATAAGCCAACACAAAAACAAGTTCACCTATAAAATTCCCGCGCACGCGCATATAAAACACAAACAAAAAGCGTCCATCGCAGACCTTGAACAACCCCAGCAGGTGTACGCTCCGATGCACCTGCTGGCTGCTAGTATTATGCAGTGACCTATAAAAGTAATAATTAAACAATTTATTCCCTCACAATTATCCCTTAGATGTGGGTCAAATAAAAACACCTTATTTATTCACATGTTAATTAATTAAATTTGCCTGCGGCTGTACTTTGTGGGTTAATACGATGTGAATGTTTTATTTTTAACTGCGTCAGTAATATTAATTTATATATTTCTCAAAAATATTTTGTTACACTCTCGTACAAAATTGAAATCATGTTTAAGTATTTTAAGCGTAATTATATAAATAATGTTTATGAAAAACTCGCACAATTTCCTATAAGTACATTTCGCTTTTTAAATAAATTTGTTAAATATTCTTAACTGCTTGCCATAAAAGCTTATTTTTTTATGTAGCCTGTGCAAGTATGTACATAGGTATGTGAATATAGTACCTATTACCGTATAACGACATAACACAGTGCAGGTGAACATGTATTTTAATAAGCCTGCCTGTCATCGCATATTGGGTTATATTAAGGACAATATTTTTTGTTAATTTCTGTATAGATTACCGCGAAACATTAAAGAAAATATATAAAAAAATTGAAAACTTATTTTAAGACGTACACATTTCTTTATATAAAATATAAAGGATATTTTTTTACATTAACTAGAATTTTATATACTAAACTTGTAGGTTAAAAAGATCGTATAGATCTTTTTAACTAACTAACGACTTACAATATATTCCTAAGCTTGATTGGCTTAGGAATGCATAAAAGGCCAACGTTCAAAGAAAAAATCTTTTTTTGGGCCAGGAACTTTCGCAGGCCGGATTGTGATGAAACTTTGCTCGGTTAATCTGTGTATATATACACAATTTGATCAATAGTTTAGGAACGCATAAGGGACAAACATACGAACATTTACTTTTGTTTATATAGATATTAAAACAATTTAAAGCCCGCAACAATAAGGCTAAACATTGGCTCATCATCAAAACTTCACATCATGACCACTATTATGTGCTAACGAAGTCACACTTAGAAACATTATATGTAACGTTTTTGTATTCCACAATGCATCCGTTCGCCGGAGGAAATGAGGGCTTTATGTAAAAATTTACTGACTGGCTTTATATGTATGCATCGTTTAACAGGCTCTATTATTTCGCTGTTGAAATTCCTTACTATAATTTGTATTTTATTACAAGTTGATCCGACCGACGTTGTCTTGACCAAATTACAATAATTTTGTTTGAGATCTTTGAGTTCATACAAAAATATTACAAAAAAAATCCTTTACGTTTCGCTCGATTCTCTGGACCATTTTTTGCTCCAAAATCATCATAAGAACTATTACGAATATTTACAAAAAAAAATAGCCAAAACAGTCCAGCTTCTCAAGTGATGCGCTCACAATCGAACAACGTTTCATATTAATAATTAATAGATATATCAAAATTAATAATTCGACATTAAACGCCACCTGTTATAATTATAAGGAACTAGTATCTTATCCTTTTTTTCATCAAAAAAATAATATGCCACGGGAATCCCATGACGTACCGAAAAAAATAGACGGTCACTAACTAATCTTCATAAAATATCTCTACGAAAAAAATAGGCCAATGCATTTCTCTAGGAAAAAAGAAGTATTAGCCATCGAATATAGTAGATACAATACTAAAAGTGTAAATGATAAAGATACTTTAGAATATATCTTTTATGTGATTTTTTGTGACAATTTCTAAGGATTTACAACATTTTTTTATTGATTCACATCCAAGAGCCGCTCAAAATATTTTTAATAATTCAATGGCTATTCAAGAGGTCACACAGATGTGCGTACTTCAGACAAAGGCCTTAAAATAATCGCGGGATCGAAACGGGTTGAACGCAGTTTCTCCACCAACTTAGGACTAACTGCAAAAGTTTTATTAGTCTTTAATGCTCTGGCATACAGTGCATTTTATGACGTTTGGTAAAATGTTTACTGTTTTATAAAGCTTGTCGGTACATGATTTGACTGGTGTTTGATACACGTGTGGAGCTCCCCTTGAAATGCACCTATCACCTGGTGGGGCAATTCGAAATAAAATTAGGTCACACGTTGCGCCACTGGTTTCTTTATGCGACTATTCATTTGGTACTCCGATACGATCTTGTTGATTTGATCCTCTTATATGAATACATTTCCTTGTTAGTACAATTGTTACCCAAAGATTATGGTAGGTATATATTATATGTACAACTCGTACAGACATATAATGAAGCTAAAAATTTCATATTTTTTGGTAGATTAAGAAAAACACATATACAATTTACTTACTAATATTTTAAGCTTTTCAGATATAAAAATAAGCGTAAGTTGGCTAGTCTCAATTATCTATCAATGAATTCATCCGTGGGTATTGTTTTTTTTCGCACCTCAGATATTTTACTTCTATTAAATAATTAATTTTCATGTAGGTACTGATAGATTTTGTTATATACATTTAGGTACATAAAATCACTTGATATTTTACATAAATCGATCAAAAGCAAGAAAAGAGAGAATAATCACGCCAGTGGAATAGTTCTCTAGCATCTTAGCCTTGGACCGGTCCTGGCATCATTGTGCCTTTCAATACAACCCCATATAAATACCAATAGTACACACGTGCGCGCTTTGAATCGACTGAATGGTTGAAGAACATTTTTTAATAAAAGAACTGGTCAACGAAGCATGCTTGCTGCGCAGTTGTTAAAATTTGTATAGTTAAATTATTATATATGTACGTACGTATTTACATGTTAACGCAGGTGTTTCAATTTTAGGGCCAATGTAATTATATTGCGTAATTTTGCTTCCTATTTAGTCATAAAATATAACAAAATGGAAGTAATTGTATAATTTATGATTAATATTATTTTATAATTTATTTTTAATTATATTATATTTGTACGAGACCTCCAAACACTAATTCACTTACCAGTGATAGTTTATCGTGCGGAGTTTAAACGACTCAAAGGACGAGAAGATATTCATTCCTGTATAAATTTTTGTATATTATTGTTACATGGTATCTTAGCCATTTTGATACGAGTTTAATTAAATTCAATTTTAATTAATAGATAGATAATTATTTTTTAACTAAAAAGTAAAAAGTATGAATAAAATTTAAAATTATAACATTAAACTTAAGTTATTTTTTGCTTGCTATATATTCGTATGGAACACCGTTGAGTTATAGCCTCATTCAATAACAAAGAATCACAAAATCCGGTTCAGAATTATCGGCGAAAATATTTTTGTTCAGAAGTTGTTGTTCAGAATTATTGCGTAACATATTATGTAATATGTATATTGTAGACACAAAAAAATATCCGAATTGTGTACCTATCTAAGTCCTTTTTTTATAACGGTCAAAATTCGTATTTCTTGCGTGGTGCTTAACCTATTAAGTAAAAACTAAAATCTACCTATCAAAAAATATGGTATCCATTTAAAAAAATAACCTGCATTTATTATAATTATATTATTTTGCTACTCGAAATAACAACAACAGCGATAAAAAATCGATTGCTCAACTTGTCAAGTGTTATTTACATATCATACAAACAAAACATAATTATATTGTGATTGTTGAGTAAAGTATTTTCGACGCCATATTGTCTGTCCCGGCGATGATAATATAATATCACTTATCAGAATAGAATATCTAATTACTTTTACGCAGAAATTAAAGGTGCTTTTAGTGTTTAGAACAAAATAAAGAGTAATATAAGTAATTAAAAGTACCTAATTGCAATTTATGAAGCTATAAAATATTTTTACGCTACTTTAAAAACAAGATAAATTAAGTTAAGAATAAAATAAGTTTAATATATAAAGAAAAACATTAATAATTTAAAAATATACACATTAATATTAACGGATTAGACAATTCGAATAATACAAGTTTTGATTATCAATTTATTATTTATAGTGTTTTATTTACATGTAGGTTCTAAATAAACGGTTAATAAAAATAATTTTATATAATAAATTATAATGAAACTTCCTTTAGGTACCACAACGTAAATACAAAATTAATTCCTACATATTTAAGTTATTAGTATTACATTGTGTGCTATGTAGTAATCTAGTATTATAAATATAAGTACATATATAGTTACACGTAATTAGCATGTTTTATTATGTACCTACTAGCGACTCACCCTCGCTCCGCTCGATTTCGCCCCTACTTACGTTTTAAGGTTTAATATAGATTTCTCAGAGATGAGATATTTTCCCGCAGTAAAAAGTATCCTATATGTTGATCCGGATAACCAGCTATCATCATCCCCAAATTTCATCAATATCCCTCCAGTGGATTTTCCGTGATACGGTAACAGACAGACAAACAGACACACAGGCAAAAATTTTAAAAACTATAGATTCGGCCTTTGTATCCATAATAATGTTTATTAAAGATTTTCCAAAAAATATTTAATCATTTAATGTACAGATTCGGCTTAGTTACAATTTTATTATTATATTATGAAATATGAATAGATAGAATATATTTTTTTACTAGTTCTTGAAATAATTATTTTATCAATATCAATACGTTATGTAAGTTGGAAAACTAATTAAAGTGCTACCCTTATATCGCTGTATCTATATTATATTATCGGTGTATTTTATTTTGAAATGAATAATTTCAATTTGTCAATAGCAACGCGATATGTATTGAAAAAATAATAAAAGTGCTATTGTATATCGCTATCGACAAAGTCTGCTACATAGTACACATGGAATCGCAATTGGCATGGCATACAATGTGGCGGGTGCAAGGGTACACTCCCGACTCGTCCCGCTCTTGCTCCCGCGAAAGTGAAAATTCGCTGGGCACTTTCTCCCCACCCGTCGACGCCCCGCCCCTCGCTGCACCCCCGCACCCCCGCGCCGCGCAAGGTCAGCCCCGTGCAGGGTGAGGCGGCGCGGCGACGCTGCGCTCTTGAAATTTCGCTTTCGTTCACTCGCGGTTATTAGTCGGCCGCGCGAGCTACGGTAAGCATGTGTTTTTGACGCGTTACATCGCGGCACGTTCGATTTCGTTGATCGTGCATCGAAATGGCTCCCAGACGGCATGGAACTACCGAGAGGGACTCGGACGACACTCATGGCTGCTGCGTTCCAGGAGAGTGCCTGCGCCCTCGGGAACCTGTGCGTGTTGAGGACGCCGTGCGAGTGCTATGCAACAATGACACGTGTGCCGCCGGCCGGTATATGCACAGAGAATGCTTCGAGCAATGGGAGGCCGGTGTGCTCGCTTACTTGAAGTCATGTGGGCGTGCACGATCCTGGTCTGAGAGGCAACGCCACCAGAATCTTTGGACGAAGAAAGGTTATGACTTGGCTTTTAAGGCCTGCGGCTGTCGCTGTGGCCGCGGTCATTTAAAAAAGGATCTCGACTGGATTCCTCCTGGCGCCGCCATCAGGGCAGATGATGAGAAGAAGAAGCGCAGGCGGGCTCGTTCCGGTCGCACACCAGCGGCTGTCGATATACGAACCAGGGCGTTCAGTCTGTCCAGTTCTGGTTCCTGTTCTCCGCCTTCTGCACCTTCCGAACCTTCGGCGAGCCCAACACACGCTCATCCTTTGACACCTGCGAAGAGAAACTCTAAACCTGAAATAGTCTCTGATCGGATCAGGTAAGCATATTCCTCCATTATATTTTTATATAAAATATAATATTTACTATTACTACGAAATAAACATCGAACTGCTTATCAACATTATTGTATGAATAATTGAAAACAGGTAGGTAGACATGTTGGCAATGGCAGTATGTACAGTCGAATGTTTATTAGGAGTCAAAACATGTCCAGCGTTCACACTAAGTTGTAACAATACATCGATAAGCATAGTACCTATAGTAAGCTTGTTTCCTGGGATTAAGAACGAGTGGCGCCCGGTAGGCCGGTCAAATCGCAATCTAAGTTTTAATATAAAACCATACCTACGCTTTTTCTATGCATACTAAGTGCAAGCTACGCCTACAGTGTTGAATGTCTGCCGGTTGTTTATATTAAATTTTATAAGAGCCTCGCATAATTGGCGAAGAACTGGTTACATACAAACCAGTGGTCCAAAACCAGACCCTTTTACTGGCACAATGTTAAATATTTATGCTCATATAAAACATAAATTAATAAATAGAAAGCGCCTTATTCCAATCTTATTAGAATATTTTGCAGTGAAAATAATGCCACATATTAATTATATATTAACTAGGTATAATAAAATGTTTTTCACAGGTGTAATGTTATTTGCTTATAGATAATTTATTTTAAGCTGTTAAAGTAAATATTTTTGTAAAATATTTAAACATATATATGAAAGATACTCAAAAACAAATCAAATATTATTTACTGAATACAAAATTTGTTTGTCTTTAGATATAATATCATTTTAAAAATAAAATATTTTATCATTATGTTAAATTCAAAGTTGGCCGGAAATTACGGCACTCGGCACTCGCCCCACATGATTATAAAAAAAAATGTTAAAAATTTACAGGCGCTACCTTTTTTTTGTACACGTTTCATTATTTGTCATTCATAAAATCTTATTTAATTTTTAATTAAAATTATATTTATTGTGGTATTAAACAATGAAATCGTTAAATTATATTATATATTATATTTACATACATTATGTCAGATTTTTGTAATTAAACATTAAAAAAACTAATTATAATAACTACTGCAAAAAATCAGTTGTTTTTGTTATGGAATATTATTAGACTTTATTTTTATACCATGAATGGTTTTGCGTATCATGTTCAATGTTAGTAAAAGTGAAGTTTCGACAAAAAAAAATACAGAAAGTATTTGCGCCAATAAAACCGTCTTAAATCAATATTATTTGCTATTTTTATATGTATTTTTTATTCCGGTAAAAATAACAAGTTATAAATAACTTGTCCCGTCATTATTATCGTAAAAAGCAAACAAGTCGACTATTTTTTGACACCATAATATGTACGATTGCTTTTTTTTGCTTCGATTATAGTGCAAATATTTTTTGCTGCGAGTGGTGTTATTTGTCATTTTTTTACCGTCTTGCTGTCTGTCTATCTCTATTTGACTGATATAAATAATTATTTATTTAGAGTATAACAAACAGCAATATGGTAGATCGTTTTAGTTTTATGATTTTTATCCTTACCTCCTCATTGTTAATACTAACTGAGATATCATTATATTCTACAATCGTTGAAGAATAATTTTGTAGAAATAACAAAAATTCTTATGTTAAAAAATCATTTTGTTATTTGCTTATATTTTTTTAGATTTCTATTTTTTAACAATTTAACAATGAAATGTAGAGAAGTTAAGAAGTTTAGCTTTCTGAATTCACTGTATTTGATATATAAAATTGATTTTAGTGTAAAACTCATGGTGAAAATAAAATTTTGATCTCAAATCTAAAAACAAATTCAATTATAAATTTAAGAATGTAGGTAATAATTTGACTGTACACACTATTCTATGCATTAAGTTACAAGGCAACTTAAAAAAAAGTCTTTAGCATTTAATGTTATATGAATAAAATTCGTATATATGTAATAAAATATTTACGTAAGAATATTCAAATAGCAATATCGTATCACATTCTGTGAAAAAATGCATCTAACGTTAAAAGGCGCATATTACAACAATATCAATTCAATTTATTGTGTTAAAAACAATAAGTTTTTGCGATGCCGGTAGTTTTATTCCAGGCCGCATCCGAAATTGGTGGAGCCCTAAAAATGCAATTTCGCCGGTCCCATACATTAACTGCGCTTCGTTGCACAGCTGGTTTCCGTTTCCCGTACATAATGTACATAATAACTAAAATGCATTTTCCCGAATTTACACCAGCTGCTCTACAATTTGTTGCGGTTTTTTTGCGATGCGTTACACGCCTTATCGTTTTTTTTTTGTTAACGTTATCATGTTTTCAATTGTGGTAGATTGTGTGTTGTGTAATAATTTGATAATATTGTTATTTTTCCTGTAACTTTAGATGCTGTTGAGAATTGCTTCTAGTAATATAAAGTACAAATCTATATACATATATTAGAATATGAAATTCGGCAGATACATTCCTCATAGGAAGTAGGTATTTGCTAATAAAGGATTTTTTGAAAAAAGTTATACTTAAATGGGTTGGAAGTGTGTAAAAACAATATTCGTGGCTAGTAACGACTATTCTAATTCAAAGTTTTAGGCAGTACATATATTGTTTGGGGGTGCACAATAAGGGATGAAATCAATATCGAATTTTCTTCTACACAGATAAATAAAATTGCAAGTGTCTGTTCGTAATGTCAAAAAACAGCGTTTTTCTAAATGCATATGAAATTATATACGGTACTTATAAGAAAAACACTTTTTTAAGTTTTTTCTGTCTGTCTGTTTGTTCCGGATAATTTTTGAAACGGCTGGTCTGATTTTGACGGGACTATTACTGGAAGATAGCTGATGTTATAGGGAGTAACATAGGCTACTTTTATTTTTGAAAAAGAATTAGGGTCCTGCTCAAAAAAATCAAAAAGTACCTAGGAACCAACCCGAGCGAAGCGAGGGTGAGTCGCTACTCGCTAGTCTTTAGTATAACCAGTCCAGTGACAGAGGGTGGAGTCGCGAGCAAGCGCTAGTATTATTATATGTATGTTGGACGGCTTTGTAACAATAATTAATAGTTAAATAAAAACAAAACTATATTGTCTATACCTACGTTTATAAAACAAAGAAATTCATTGAATAAATTTAATTGCTGTAGCAGTTTATCTCGACGCGTAATAAATTACTAGAGAATTAAAAATAGAGTTTTATCAACACGTTTTATTTAAATACGAGGACAAACAAATATAAGAATTTATTATGTATGAAGCACGGTGTTTATTATGATTGGTTTATTTGCTCATATATTTGTGTACCAACCTATTAAAATCTCAAACGTCTTAATTCACTTGTTATGGCTGAAATAAACTATAACATATATCTAATGTTTAAAACCTTGATGAAAGAATTGATGAAAATGAGATGGAGAAATTGAGAAATTGTCAAAAATTCCAATTTTACTTATAATTTCTTCGATCGTAGAGTTTGAGAATATTGTAATTATATTTTTTCTATCTAAACAATTTTTTGTTGTTAATTGACTACGTTTTCTCTTTATTATGTTTAATGTAAAGGCAATAAATCTCTACAGTTTATAGATAGCAGACATGCGAAGCTATTAGGTCCTGATATAAAACTGGTCCCAATCAAGTTTCTTAAAATAAATACTAAAAATCTTATTCGGCAAAGTAGTTTTGATTGTCAAGCTTTAGGGATATATATTAAAAATATAAATAATAATTAACATATGATCTTACGTTATTATTATTGCAAAGTGTTTTTTAACAAATTGTATTATTAAACATACATTCGTTTAAAATGAACCATTATATTTTCATACAAATACGATCTATAAGCTAGTATCTAAAGCAATATGTATAGATTTTAGATTTTTATATATACCTACGTGAAAAACACAAATATATTTTTACAATCCATAAAGATTATGAAATAGGACAACATTAATATTTATTTAACTGCTACGAAATCTATACATATATTAAAAGTATAACTAATCGCGTTTGTACATGGAAGATATTTGAGAAAAACTATTATTGGGTCTTTATTAACACAAAAACAATGATTTTTAGATTTTTTGTCTGTTTGTCTGTGGGTTTGTGTGCGTTAATCTCTGAAACAGCTTAACCAATTTGGGTGCGGTTTTCACTAAAATATTTTGGTAAGCTTCACTTAATATTTAGTATTATTTCAATCGGTTTATAAATAAAAAAGTTATGTCAATTTAAAAAATTATCTAGGCACGAACCGAGCGAAGCGACGGTAAGTCGCTAGTATTAAATATATAGCACAACTAGCATTGCCCGCGGCTCCGCCCGCGTTCAGATGACCAAAAACCAAATGCTGGTTTTACAATATTAGTACCTATACTCTTTCATTGTAGTTTTTGTATTTTTTCTCAAAAATGAGACATTAGTAAATTGTATCCTATATGATGACCCGGATAACCAGCTATCACCATACCAAATTTCATCAAAATCACTCCAGTGGTTTTTCTGTGATGCGGTAACAGACATACAGACAAACAAAAATTCTAAAAACTATAGATTCGACCTCTGTATCGATAACAATGTTTATTTCAATAAGATTTTCCACAAAATATTTAATGTACAGATTCGACTTAGTTACAATTAATTATATGTGTAGATTTCATATCGTGTGCCTCTTACAATAAGCAAAACCTTATCAGTACCACATATAATAATAGAAATTTATTATATTAATAGATATTTAGTATAAATCGAAAATTTATCAGAATCATTATCAGTTTAAACAAACGTAGGTGGTATAGGTAGGTCCATATATGATCTTGATTGAGCCGTGGGCGATGACTACATGACATCCGACGTCTTATTTACTCGTTAACTTGACCTATAAAAACGAGTTGGAGTGTAACCTCGAGTAATTGAAGTTACTCCTTAAAGACCTATAAAATCTGTGCAATGAACAGAATGAATAATTAAAATTTTAACTATCGACTGTCTTCTTATGTTTAACTACTTAGTTACTATTAGAATTGC